GGGGCGAGTGGGTTTTTTCTTGTTTCTTCTGGTTTTGGGGTTTTTTTTGTATTTTTTTTTTTAAATTTTATTTCGTTTTCTTCCTTTTGCTGTCCTTTAGATGCGCTACGCTTTGGTTCTGGACTCCCCAGCGCCGAGACTACGGGGAAAGCAGGATTCTGACAGTCTTGGCTGGCACACGGGAACATCCCTGTGCCCGGCGGTGGCAGCAGCGAGGGGTCAGCTGATGGTACAGCCGCCCTTCTCCTTGAAGGGGTTCTTGTCCTCGGGAACCCCCTTCACCAGCGGGTCCTCGCCCGACCGCTCCTCGATGTAGTTCTTGATCTCCTCGGAGCACTTGGACACCTCGGGGCAAAGCAGAATCGCCTGCCATGGACTCGATGTACTCCTTGAGCTCTTTGCCGGTCTTGGAGACCTGCCGAGGAAGGAGACGCTCGGGGTGGGTGGTGGGACCGAATCCTCGCTGCAGGGCTGCGCCCCAGAAACCCCTCCGTGCCGCTGGGAGAGGGGAACCGTGGCCACGAACATCCCACCCAGCGTGGGGCGGCCCCGAGAGCATCCCTAGCGTGCTGTGGGCACCCTGCTGGGTGTGGGGCTGTAGCCCCTGGGCTCTCAGATGTGGGGCTAAGCCCGTGGGGGGACGTTTGCCTTAAGGGGGGGGAGGTGTGAACGCACATGCCTGTATCTGAGGTTTCACTTCGGGGGTTGCGGTTCTTTTCCTTTGCAGGGCGGTCAGGGCGGTAGTTTACCCTGGGGAACAGCCCCTTTGCGTTTTGGGTGGAAGACTCACCATTTGCCTCTCGTTCTTCACCTCCTTCTTGAGCTGATCCAGCTCCATCTTCAGCAGCTCCTTCTCTGTCATGTCCTGAGCCATTTTGCCCTGTGACCAGAGGGAAATGGCTCGTTATTAGCGTACAGCCGGGCTTCCCCTAAGGCACCTTAGGGCCATTGCTTCGGCCCTCACAGCACTGCAAACTGCCAGTGTCTGAGCTACCCCCGTGGGGAGAGCTGGGCTGATGCTAAAAAAAAAAATAAGCCAAGGCAGGAGGCACCTTTCAGGCACCTTCCAAACCCTTCTGGTAACGTCGGCTCTAACCAGATTTTCCTTTGCTCCTTCCCAGCAGGTCCATCGAGCCACAGATGCAGTGTGAGGGCAGCGGGGGAGGATCCAGGCTGGTTTTTAAAGAGGCCTTTGCCACGACAGAGGCTGTTTCCCCAAGACACGAGGTGGCCAGTTGAGTGGGGCCGGCTGAGGCCAGAGAAAAGCCCATCATCGCCTTGGTGCTGGCAGAGGAGCAGCCTTGTAGGAGAAACGAGCTGCCCAGCTCTGCAAACTAAACCTTCCTGAGCAGTGCCCTGTGCCTGGGTGGAGCATCTTTGCAGGTTTTCTAAGAAACTGTTCTTTTTTCCCTCGTGCCTTCCTCCCCAGGTAAGTGATAACGTGGATTATGGCCCCTTGGTTGCTGCCAACACGCCTGTTTGCAGGCGGAGGCGTCGCTTGCTGCGGCTGAAAAGTTTTTGGGGCCGCGGAGGTTGGAAAAGCCCAGCTCTTTTTTCCTGAAAACCCATCCAAGGGTTATGTGAGATTCCCCACACAGCTGCTCTGCGCTGCTGAGATCTGTTCCCATGTTAAAACTTGGGTTTAAAAGCCTGGCCACAACCTTTTAAATAAAAAAGTAAACGTGATGAAGCTGAAACATACCTCGGCCCTGCTTAGGAAGGCATCATGTGTCCCAGACCCCGCTGGTTTTCTGCAGCTGCTCTCCAGGCCTGGGTGCCCCGCACTCCTCTCCCCATCGATGCCCTCGGGGCATAGTCAACCCTGGGAGACCCTCGTGGCAGAGGGTGAGGAGCCGAAAGCCGTGGCACAGCCACGTTCCCAACCCATGGAGAACGTGGCTCCCCCAAACTGAGTGGACCCCCCCTGCTGCCATTTGTATCTGGAAGGAGCAAAGCCACTTACCTCCGGGGACGAGGGGTTGCCCCTCTCGGTGGTGGAGACGTTCAGAGAGCCATCGGGGAGGAGATGCCGTTAACTGAGCCCTCACCCTCTTCCTCCAGGCTTGAAGACTCCTCCAGCTCGCCGGGAGGGCAGCGGGGAGCAGATGTCTTTGGTCCTTAAGCTGATAATAGACTCAGGAGAATAAGCTGGTCAGGTGTTGGGCATTAGCCTCAAAGCCCAGGGTAATCGGTGGTGGGGCTGCAGGGAGGGCGAGGATGGGGGAGGAAGGGTGGGGTGGAGAAGTGCTTTGTGGGGTGGGTGGGTGACTGGAGCGACTGGGAAGCCCTTGAACCCCTGTTGTGGGTGTCTGGGTCCTGCCCTGGCTGAGGTGGAGGGAATCAGAGCAGCTTTCGTGGAGTTTAGGATGGAGAGGAGCTGGGGCGAGGGGACCTCGGGGGGCTGGTGCAGCCTCGTCGGGGGCCGGGAGCAGCTCAGGCGGCTCTTGGGCCTTCGGGGTGTGAGGAGCTGGGCCGGTGCTGGAGGAAATTCATCATTTCCCTCCTCCTGGTGCCGGTGGGGCCGTGGGCTCAGGAAGGGCCAAGCCCGAACGTGGGGTTTGCTCTTGTCTGGCCGGTGTAAAGTCGCTGGGGCTGAGGACAGAGCCTGGGAGGCCCCAAGGAAGCACCTGGGGGAGGAGGAGAGGGTGGAGGGGGATTTCCAAGCACTGGGGAAGTGGGAATTTCCTCCTCTCAGCACAGCCTCCCCCGTGGGGAGGTGAAACGTTGTTAGCAAAGCACAGAGAAGGACACGGTGTCCCGGGTGAGGCAAGGACGGGCGTCTCCGTGGGGTCACTTGTCACATCCCTCCGTGCCCTGAGCTGAGCGAGGTCCGGGTGACGGGGCCGATGCTGCGTGGGGTGCGCGGGGCTGCTCCAGGGAGGAGGACCTGGCAGGCAGAGCGCTGCCCTTGGCGGGATCTCGGGGCAAAGGGAAGGGAATCGCCCTCCCTGGATGCGCCTGAGCCCGGCTCAGCCCTACCCCCACCAGGAGGGTGGCAGAGAGGGGAGGGTCG